CAGTGTCTCTCTCTGTCAAATAAATAAAATCTTTAAAAATAAATAAATAAATAAATAGATTCCTTGAAAAACGTAATTACCAAATCCGACACAAAACTGAAAATCAAAGTAGCCCTGTGTTTACCAAAGAAACGGAATTTGTTATCAAAAGCCTCCTCACAGCTGATGGAAGTGTTCCAAAATGGGATTATGGTGATAGTTGCACAACCGTATAACTTTCCTTACAGTGCGTGGATTTCAGGATATGTAAATCATATCTCAGTGAAGCTTTGAAAACCTTATAAGGTTCTACCTGAGTCTTTAACATTCCATGGGTCAGATACACCATGGTGCCATCGCAGTGGGGGGTGAAGCTTCCCCACGAAGGAAACTTAGGCCCAGGTGATTTCACAAGTGAATTATTTCCAACATTTAAGAAAGAAATACTCTCACATGTTTCACAAAAGAAGGTCCATGAGTGGCTGATAAGCACATGAGTGAGTATCCATCATCACTAGCCATCAGGGCCACGGGAACTAAACCAAAGTAAGATGCCACTCACCAGGGTGGCTAACATTTAAGACTAACACCACCAAATGCTGGGGAGGATGCAGAGCTACCGCACCTCTCATTCTCTGCTGGTGGGGATGGATGGAAACAGGTATAATCACTTTGGAAAGAGGCTTGGCAGTTTCTTACACACTGAAACACCTATCCTTTGATCCAGCGATTCTATCCTAGGTAACTGTGTAAGAAAAATGAAAACCTAGATCCCAACAAGGCTTGTACATATGTTTTTTGTTAAAGATAGATTTATTTATTTATTTATTTACTTGTCAGAGAGAGAGAGCACGTGAGCACAAGCAGGAGGAAGGCAGGCAGAGGGAGAAGCAGACTTCCCCCTGAGCAGGAAGCCTGATGCAGGACTCAATCCCAGGACCCTGGGATCATGACCCAAGCCAAAGGCAGACACTTAACCGACTGAGCCACCCAGGCACCCCTTGTGCATGAGTTTTAAGAGATTTATTCATAGCAGCCTCAAACCAAAACCAGTAAAAGTCCATCACCAGGAGAATGGATAAAGAGATTGTGTGTTACTAGATAGTAAAAAGGTATAAACTACCAGAGCAAGGGGGTGGATGAATCTCAAAGACTTCATGCTGAGCTAACAGAGCTGGTCAGGAGAGCACATTCAGGGCTTTCACTTCCGGTGATTCTATTTAGTACGAATTTCTAGAAGAGGATAAAGGGAAAAACCCAGAATAGTGACTGCCTGGATGGGGGTGGAGAACTGCCATGAAGGAGCTTTATAGGTGACAGAAATGTTCTAGCTCTCAATTACATGAGAATATCCGTTTGCCAAAATTATAAAGAAATGTGCATTTTAACATATGCAAATTTTGCCTTAAAAAAAAAAAAGACCCATATCCTAACAAGCAAGTGGGGAAGGAGGCCTGCTGGAGACGCACAGGAAATAAACATCACAGGCCTGTCGATTCTGGCTGCCAGACACCTGGGGTTCATTATATTGTTCTGTTTACTTTATATATGTTTGAAATTTTCCATAATTGTATTCTTTTTAAGTAAAAGAGCTTTTAAAGTGACTCATGAATTTCTTGCCTTTGTTTTTATTTATAACCTTACAAAGCAGACTTTATTTTTGTCAAAGTAATTGGAGGACCATGCAGTGATGTGACGTGAGAAAAACTGTGTGCCAAGTCAACACCAGACCTTCTGCAGCGGTCCAGAGCGCTGCAAAGAACACGGGCCCTGGACCTACACAGACTTGGGTCCCACACTGGGCTCTACTGCTTCCCAGCTCAGTGACACCAGACAGGTGAGGGAGCTTGGCTCTCCAACCAGGCTTCCCTGAGGCATCGACAGCATCTTTCTCCTAGGACTGCAGTGAGGATTCAATGCTATATGTACATAATTCACCCGGCACTGGGCACGGCGCCTGATGCTTGATGAACAACTGCTGTCATCTTTATCATGATTTGTGCTCTCGCCGCCCCCCTTCACTTTTCTGAAGTCTTCAAACCTCACTCACCTGCACTGTTACATGGCAGGTTGATCCAGGACTGTGGATCACAGCACAAGCACTGTGCTGAGTGCCCACCTGCCTTAACCCTCACAAGGATCCTATGAGGTAGATCCTAGGTAGACATCTACATGGTATATACAAAGCAACTGAGACAGAGAGATTGAGGACTTGTCCAAGGTCACAAAACTTCAGAGCCTGAGCTCGTCCCTGTGCTGACTAGGAGTAGCCCATATGTATGAGTGTTATTGCTTCAGGACACTAGAGAGATCCTACAAATATCAAGACTATGGATTTTTTTTTAAAGAAACCCATTCCGTCTCTTTACAGTATTTCTATAGGAAGAATACAGTCATAGCAAAAAAAAAAGGGGGGGGGGCCTTAAATTAACTGTTGCGCTTGTGGGAGTCCAGGCGGAAACCAGGTATCCAAAGGACTGGGTCACTCTGCAGGCCTCCTGCAAGTAACTCACTTATCCCCAAATGAGCCTCTGAGCCACTCTGGAGAACAAGCCTCAGAAGCTGAAAGTACCCTGCTGACCCAGTACTAACGAACGGGCATCTCTGGCCTCACCTGGACGTCCCATTAGCAATTATTATTGCAAACGCTGTCCATTTCTATTTCCGTAAGAGTGAAAGGAAAGGAACAGAAGTAAAGCCTGGAGGAGGTGGGAGTCAGAAGCTCCAAATACCAACCTCATTCTGCGCGTGTGACTCAGTGCGATTTTCCTGTTACTGCTTCTCGTTTCTCATCCACCCACACAACTGTGCAAGGTGACTCTGAAGATTTACTTAGATGAGGATAAATCAGCAGAAATGGATTTTTAAAGAACCTAAAATTATTCTTCAAGTGAATAAGATTAAATTGTTTAATAATGCTGATAGATACTCCAGGACTCCAAAAGCTAGAGATATTATTTTCATGGTTAAAAAAAAAAACAAAAGAACAACATTAAACTTGTGGATCAAGAATCAGCGCCACTGGGGCATCCCACAAATTATTCACAATCTCTGTCCTAGAAATGACCCCCAAAGCAGTCGTTTTTCTTCTCGAACTTTCTTCTAGAAACTGTAAGGTCATTTCTTCCTGTAAGTCAGAAATAACAGCAATACCTTTAGCAATGGAGGGAGCTTAGGAGCAATAGGAGTCATTCCAGATCACCAATGGTTAATTTTATTTATTTTGATTTGTTTTTTACTTTGAAATCATTTTAGACTAACAGAAGAGATAACAAGATGGTACAGGAAGTTCCCGTAACCCAGCTTCCCCTAATGTTAACACTTTATGCAAGATTTATCAAAACTAAAAAATTAACATTGGTACAGTTCTATTAACTATCAAGTTTTGGATTTCCCCAGTTTTCCCGTGAATGTCTTTTTCTCTTCCAGGACCCAGGATACCTCATTACAATTAAGTTGTCATGTTCCCATACTCACCTCCAGTCTGTGATACCGCCTGTCTTTGTTTTTTACTACCTTGACAGTTTTAAGGGGTACCCCCAGGTATTCTGTAGATGCCCCTTAATTTGGGCTGGTCTGATGTATTCTCATAATTAAACTGAGATTATGGATCTTCAGGAAAGAACACCACAGAGGTGGTATGCTTGCTCTTTCAAACCCATTATGTCAGAAAGTACATAACATCAATATGTCTTATTACTGATGGTGTTAATCATTTAGTTAAGGTGGTATCTTCCAGGTTTTTCACTGTAAAGTTACTATCTTTCCCTTCCTACTTTCTATCCCTTAGAAGCAAGTGTAGCCCACACTCAAAGGCCAGGGAATTAAGCCCCACCTCCTGAAGGCAGGAATACCAAATCATTTGTGGACATATTGTTAAAACCACCACAGTAATTAATAAATAGTTAGGGGGGAAATCACTGGAGGCTCTGCAGTAATTCTGTTCTCTTTAAAGTTTCACCTACTAATTTTATTTTATTTAAGATTTTATTTATTTATTTGTCAGAGAGAGAATGAGCATAAGCAAGGGGAACGGCAGGCAGAGGGAGAAGCAGGCTCCTCACTGAGCAGGGAGCCCAAGGCGGGGCTCCATCCCAGGACTCTGGGATCATGACCTGAGCCGAAGGTTCAGCTTAACCGACTGAGCCACCCAGGTGTCCCATCACCTACTAATTTTAGTATCCATCAGCTTATCTTCCCTGCAGAAATTATTACTGCTGTTCTAGTGATGATTTTCTATTTCCCTCATTCCTTCTATATTTACTAACTGGACTTCTTCTGTAAGGAAGAATTGTCCCCTCATCCCAATTTATTTATTTACTCATTTATTTATCAGTATGGACTCATGGTTATTTGAAAAGACAGTTGGGAGGGTAGAGAGAGAAAAAGAGAGAGATGTGTGTACACACGGATTAGTATACATATTAGCTCTGTCTGCTGAGTCTAGAGGGATTGACATTCCATGAGCAGTGAGCACACCTGGTGCCAAGACCTTGTTTTCTAAATACCCTTCTCCAATAAAAGGAACCAGGACTCCTTAGAGAAATGGATGATTCTAGGGGCAGGAAAAATATAAGATGAGCCTAGAGAATCTTGTAGTGCCAAAAATTATTATTATTTTTTTAAAGATTTTATTTATCTATTTATTTGAGACAGAGAGAATGAGAGAGAGAGAGCACATGAGAGGGGGGA